ACCGACATCAAACGTTTTCTTGACAACATCAACCTCGTCGTCATCGAAGAAAAATGACATTCGATTTCATGTTCATACACAAACAATCGGCCAATTATCCCCATTTGGTGTTCTTGAATTTGTTGACAACACACTCACAGCCGAACCGAGCTGAAAATCCGTACAAAAGGCAAATAAATTACCCGAAATCATTAGCCGTAAGGAATTCTTAGAAATGCAAAAGCATTTGAACGAATCTCCATTGGCAAACACATGCGAGTTCAATGCGAACGACACTTTTGTGTACCGAATTTGAATTGCGTATTGAATATGCACCGAAAACAATGTTTCGCATATAGTTTTGTGACATGGCAATTGTAAGACGATGATGGTGGTTTACGAGCGATACCAAATAACTTTTGTCATGAAAATCTTCCGACATTGAAGGCTGTCTGTGGCTCTATTTCGTATATCTGACACACACACACATGCTCATATAACATCGGTTTTTATTATATGTGAAAGTCGAAACTAACGACACAAGTATAATACTTGGCGACTAGAAAAAGGCCAACCGAAATTGTTCTGACAAGTGAAAGCGGCTTTGTTCTAATCATACTCACAAATTAGGATACAGTTGATTGTTTGATAAAACACAAGAGATTACAAATGTACTGCACATCGGCAACTTCATTAAAATTCAATTAGAGCTTAGTTTTATCATTTGTTTTTATAGTGGATAAAATGGCATCGAGCGTTGATATTTCAAATGGCTTCGTGTATGTATGTATGTGGCTGTTGCTGCTTTTGACGCTGATCGAATGGGTGGAATAACATTACCAAATGTCTGTATATTGAACGTTGACTGTAAACGCGAACGAAGATAGATATTAGCTGTGTGTGTGTGTGTGGCCGCAATAAAGATTTACAACTTCGAAGAATTTCAATCCCAAGTTAATATGTAATCGCATAATAAATGCTTGCGCTGTGTTTTTCATATGCCATTCAAACGTATCCACTTTCCAATGCATAGAATACTCGCGTGCATTTTGCATGGAGGTATATGAATTTTTCACTTTTCAATTTCCATGCAAATGCCATAATTTACTTAATCAGAATATCTGATTCAGAAATATCTTTGTGTGAATATATCGATATTGCAGTCGATAGTCACTTTTATCGCTGGAAACCTGTGCACAGAACCGGTGTAGATATGTTAGCAACGATGAAGATAAATCTGGCAATTCTTCCGAAGTACACTCGATTTTCATACAAAAGAAAATTGGCAGCCATTGTTTCGGTTCGATGTTGTGCCAATAAATTTCCTTATCTTTATTTATAATCTAGCATTTCATTTTCAATTTGCTCCACATATTCCAAATTGAATGGGATTTAACGGGAACATTTTACAATTCGTTGTAAACACAAATCAAAATACCAGCAGCATTTTATCTACCGTTTTTTGGTCAACCAGATTCAAATGCGCTGATAGTCTCGGAGAGAGCGCATGTGGTGAATGGGTTGTTAAACGCAATGTCGCAGCAACAGCAGTAGCAGCCACATGATTGACTAATCAAATGGGTCTGTCTCGACTGCTTTTATGGAGATGATATCATTTATTTTATTTTTGTGAACTGACTGAGATGGAGGGAGAGAGAGAGAGAACTGAAGTAAGGGTGTTCGATTCACTTCTGACATTCAATCTCGAATTTCCATGCATCGTATTTTGCATATTGCAGCACCTACAACATTTTTTTTTCCCGAGTCCCGAACGGGGGCATTCAGCCTTCGGGAACATTGCAACAGTGCAGCAACACGAGCACATGTTATCAATGAGCGATGTGAATGTGCTTGCATACAAATTGGAGCGAGACGATAAAAAAGAGTCGTAAAACTGTTTCAACTCATACTAACATGCCGCACATTTTGTTGTCTGCATAGTTTTGTAGCTAATTTTCGGTGATGTTGCCAACTTTAAACATGACATCGAAAGTTGTATTTTTATTGCTGCTGCTGCTTTTTTTTCGTCCCGGCACTTGGAATGCATTCACAATTTCCATTGATTAGATTTTTCATGTTTATGCATAAACATGGTGCATGCACCCCGCGGTCATAGATTCTGACGCCCGCACGCCGAGGGGGGAGGGGTAAATTTTCAAATTTCAATCAAAATGTAAGGAGGTAATTTCAAATGTTTTCCATAAAATTGAGGGGGTAAAATCTAATTTTTGTAAGGAAAATTGCGGAACAAATTCATTTCAAAATCAGTTTACTTAAGTGCCAAAATCTTCTAGTAAGAAATGTGGTCCGGTGCAATCATTGGGTTTGCCTGGAGTGGGTTTTCCCAATTTTAACTTCTCAGGCAAAAAACCCGTGGATTCGATTGCACATCTGTTTAATGATATGTCTTTCTTTGCAGAGATCGTCGGAAATTCACGAAGTTTATATTTTTTCAAAGCAAATTCTTCGTTAATTTGTTGAAATATGCCACATTTATCACACGGATTATTTTCACCAAATACAACCAAGTCGATCCACAGCAATCTGACACAAAAAAAAGATCAAAGGATGGTCAACGGTTGAGATGCTCAAAATGATTGAGATTTTGAAGCTCGAGGCTCTACCAAACTGAAACTTAATTACAATTTCAATGACTGCGTTTTCAAAATAAAAATGGTTTTTGAATAAAGATTCAATGTAAAGTGATACATCTTTAATTTAATCAGGGACAAATTTTTAGTGGGGTGAACAGAATTTTTCTACAATCAGAGGGGGGTAATTTATTTAGCGCACTCAAGGGGGTAATACGGACCCTGCGGACCCTCATCAGAAGCTATGCCCCCGGTAAAGGAGTTTATTCAAAAGAGAATTTTTATTTACGAATTATGCCAGTGAACTGATGTTACTGCGTCGATCAATCATGTAGAACATTTTGGGATTCAGCGATGCGCGTTGCCATCGTTGATCGAAAAATAAAAGAAGCATCGCATTCATTCTTGCAATCTTTGGCTATAGATATGGTTGGGATTTCATTAGATGTATTTCGCTCCATATGCTAAATCGATTGCGATATGAAATATAAATTGGTAAAGTGTTCGGAAATTCGATGAATTGTGACGAGACACCCGATGTATCTATATTGAATTTGATTTGAGCTTTGTTCGCATTTTGTGTCATATCCCACTTTATCCCCTTTTGATATTCCGAGACGGATGTATCGAAATGGCGGGGAGCTTTTAGATATACACGAAGATGAAAAGAGATAAACGCAATAATGGATATAACAGCAAACAAGTGGGAAAAGTGGCCGCCAAGACAAGAAACAGATACGAGAAAAGCAAACTAGAAGAATTGTGCAAATAAGGCCAATAAAATTCACATTTAATGACGACAAGTATCATTGTCGATAATGTGTGTTGAACAATGTACGTATTATTTATCGGACATTATGCGAATCCGGTTGGTTTTTTCTCTGTTTATTGTTTCGCCTAATGCTCGCGGAGTGTTGCTTGGGATCAAAGCTATTGCCAAACAAACGTTTTCTTTTTTCTGCTCGTCAATTTTTTCCTCGTTTACCATTAAAATCTCGTTGGCACAATATAAATGTGCCATGTCTCTTCCAACCGATCGATTCAATGTCATCGCAATTTCCGCTTAAGCTTGGTGTAAACTCGAAGCATTTTATTCCGATTTCTTTCCAATAAAATAATTTGCAATGCTCTTATTTTCCATTTTGTGCCTATGCTTTAGTTGAACCACAACCGAGAGCAGCACATTTCAATTCGGTCCCGACCCGCGTAATCCAAAAAGCCGATTCAATCATTCAATTGATGTTGCTGCTGATGCGGTTCGATTTCCTCCATCTCGCTTTTCCTTCATCTCTTCCTTAACCATATATTATCTTCAGTTGTGCTCATTTATTTTGAACACACTTAAAGTACTACTCAGATTTAATAAACTTTTTTTCCCCTCGATTTCTTCTACTAAGTCTTCAATTTCGTGCTCGTTTCGAATCACCTAAGCCAGTGGAATGAGGAAAATCTTGAACCAAATTAAATGCAACGAATACGATTCAAGTATTTTACATATATCAAAACATGAATTCATTGTAAAGATGGTGGAAGTTTTTCAAGCGGGTCTCTCGTTATACCCTCACAATTGGCGAAATAATGGTGTATGGCAACTTGATTTATGTTTCAAACTTTTTTCTTTCTAATTCATATCGTCTGAAACAGACAAGACAAACGAATCATGCGAAAAAGGCAGATAAGACCAAATAGAAAATGTGAATTCCATGTGAAAGTAATCAGAAAAGTCAACGTGTTTGCGTTTGATTTATTTCCAATTAAAATTCATTGAAGCATCCAAAGAGTCAATGCAGAATTGCATAGACAAATCGATTAGACTGATGACAATCGCATCAATTTGCCGAACAATTGAGCTGTGCGAGAGCTGTGAATGCATTGTTGTATGTTACGAAATGAACTTTGAACTTTGCACATTGTTCACATACCGTATGGGTTTTGCATTTTCGAGATGCTCGCCCTACCATGCGAATTACCAATTCCACTTCAAAATCAATATAAATGAATTAAATTCTGCGGTGTGCAAACAATATGAGAATGCAAATTTTAAATTGAATCATTTTTGCTAACAATTGCCAGATATGCAAATTATGCGCAAACATGGACTTAACAAAAAAAAAGTTGAGTGAGTGGATGGTTGGCTGTGTCAAATTTGAGTTCAGAAAATGAATTGAAAGTTGATGAATACGAACGAGATTAAAATAATGTATGGTTGGTGATTGCCAAATAGTCAATTGACGTGCAATCAACAAACTTTCTGCTTCTCAATAAAATGATCGAACATCAGCTTTTCATATGGAATCGACAAGTTTTGGATAAACAAATTCACTTTATTGTGCATTTATAAAAATTGTCGCAGAATTAACATATTGAATCGAACTGAGTGGAAATTTTCCACAAGTAAATTATTGAAAATAATCAAAGAAAATCACTTACCGATCAAAAATGCGAGCCTCCTTCAACACATTGCCCAAATTGATGTATGCATCCAAAAAGTTTGGATCCAATGTGACGGCCTTTTCGAAATGATGAATTGCTAACCAGATTTCGCCTTGAGCATTGAATACACATCCCAAGTTGCTCCAGGCGACGGCAAAATCAGGGCGAGTTTCAATCGCCTTCAAGTAGCACGCCTGAGTGGTTTTGTGCGCACGGTTTTGTTTTTGAGTTTTGGTATTAGTTTTTTTTTTTAATTTGAACAAAAAAAAACAATTTGCATTGCAAATCGATCGTTTATGAAAGAAAAAACAAAAAAAAAGAAAAGAAAAAACTGAGTTAGATTCTCAACGAAGAACATATATGAGTAAAAATGAGAAATTTTTTTTTGGTAAAAAACAATTTAAATCTGTGGCATTTAGAAGGTGAATTTTTTAGAAGAGACAAAATTGCGCTCAATCGATTTCAAATTCAAATCCGTCTGAAATCAGTTTGGTGATTTCATATGCTTCGGTTTTTTGGGTGTTGAGATATTTTCTTTTGTTTCTTTGTTGTCATTTGGAAATGTGTTCACTTTTTTTTTCAAAAAAATGCATTTTGCTTCACACAAATCAATAAAAAACAATTTTACAGAGCCTAGCAATGAAACAAAAAATTATTATAAAGCAACCTAAATGCTGTTGTTCCATGTATATATTCTATCGAAAGTGTATCATTTTTATTTGTTTATTCTCAACATATTGTTTTTCTGGAAAAAAGAAATCTGGACTTGTTTGTTCAAACAACAAAAATATTTGGTTTACAAATGTTCGTTTTACGTGAATCGAAAACCGTTTGTTTCACAAATTGAACACTTTCAATAGAATATAAACTGTAATAACAAAGAAAAAAAAAACGAAATTGATTTACGCACAAAAAGTAGCTATCGCATTTTGATAACTACTTGCAACATGTTAGAAGTAATGAACGCAAGTCTATATAGCCACGTATAATGCTGAACAAGTTGTACGCCAAAAAATGTAACAAATTTGCTGATTTACGCACACAAAACATCACATGAACTAGGTTGTTTTTCCAATTTGGTCACCACCGGTTTGATAGTTCGGAGACGCGTATCGTTCAGAGTAGAAATATTTATAGTAAAGGCATTGTTTTCCTTATATTCAAGTTAAACCACCGGATATTCGCGTCACGTCCCAAATCAAATGGATGGCTTTGGCTTCAATTTGATTCAGATTCGGATTTTTCAATTTGTTCAATCGAAATCTATTTATTTTTATTCTGTTTCAAATGAAAGTTGACGATATGTGTGTGTCGTCCACGTATATATGACAAAAGGCATTGAATTTGTGTTTCTAAATCAAAATGAAGCGCATTTTGCGGAATGTTGAATAGAAAATTGGAAAAACATCGTTCGTTCAAATGTGACACGCAATAATTTACGCCAACAAGAAAATCCTAAAATTAAAGATAAAATATTTGATTTCCAGGTTTCAACCATATATATATTCAACTGAATTGTTTGATGCCAAATGTGCGTGCAATTGCCTAGAAATGGTGGAAATTACACGAAAAAAATATGGAAGATTGTGATTGATCGTAGACGGTTATCATCAGAATTGATTGGTTCGACTAGAATATGAGGCTTTTTGACTGACCCATTTATTTTTCTCTTGCACGCTTGAAACTTGAAATACCGCGCTGTCAACATTTGAAAATGTATTCAAAGGAATGGAGAGAAATCCTTGAATGAAATGATTCAGAATTGAGTTGATTCTCACATCAATCAAAAGTTCTCTAATTCAATCATTGATGATGTGATTGAAGAGATGGAACAAGATTGGGAAGAACGACGATCGCATTTATCGCGATGAAATGATTGACAACAAAATTTCGGTTCAGAAATGCACGCACCTTTTCTCATGAACAAAATCGCATTTGCTAATAAAATTCTACGAATTCAATGAATTTCAAACAAAAAATTTAAAAAAAAAATTCATCACATTTAATTTCTATTCGGTTTTTGGAAATTTTGATTTGGTTCTTTTTTCTAAAAAAAAATTGTTTTTGTTTTGTGAATAAGATTGGTTGGTCATTTAGTATCCACATTACTTTACCTGAACTGGTACACACTATTTGAACATATTAAACCGCTCTATTTTTCTAGATTTATTTTCAGTTTCAAAATCCGGGGAAGGGCAATGGCTCTTTGCAAAATGCATTGCATTTTTTGTGGGTGTGTGACGAAAATTCATTCATTTCGGTATTTTGAATTTGGTTTTAAGTGTGTTTGTGTGTGGTTGTGTGAAGTTGTTCAATGTGCCACTTTTTTTCTGTTCGCGCAATTCATTTGCTCATTTCTTTTCTCATTTTGTTCTTGGAATTGTGTGTATTTGGTTTGATTTTTTTTTATAAAAAGAAATATTCAGTCATTTAATAATTTTTCTATCCCTATTAAATGTATGTGTCGATTGTGATCCACTGAAATCATTTTATTTAAGAATAATAATAAATTTGATAAGTGAGAGGAGGATACAAAATATTTTTTAGCTGGAAAAAAATCATCATTTGTTTGTTGTAAAATAAATTGTAAATATAAATTGCGCATTCGATCCACATTCATTCGTCAACTTCAGCATAAGCTCTGATAGATGTGTACTCTGACTTGCATATATTTAAATGGACCCATTTTTTTTCAAGTAAAAGAAAAGTTGTGCACGTCGTGTTATTTTCGAATATCAGAGCGTATGAAAGCCAATCAAGCACATCGAATATGCCTGCTGCAACTCGAGTTTGACAAAGCGGCAAAATCGTCAATAATTTGATTTTTTTCTTGTACATTTATTTCCATGTGATTCTTAATTTTATTTGATTTAAATCTTAATTCAATTTCAATGCAATGCAAATTATTTTGAAGATTTATCCGCTGTTGTCAGTGGCTGTTTTTCCAATTCGAGGCGCATTAATTTTTATTTTCCACGATATCGACCGGGGCCAAATTCGGCCGATTTCATTTTGTCGGAAAACGTGTACAATTGTGATGAACGAAAAATGCTATGAGATATCCTACGCATCAAATCCCTATCGCAAGTAACAAATCAGCTGTTTTTTTTTTCTGTCAAGGAACGAAAAATACACACATCGAAATCACCAACACAGGTCAATTAGAGGTCACATTTGCCGTTTATCCAAGTCCGATTTATTTTTCTCGAAAATAAAACCACAATATCCATACTTCCTGATCGAAATAGTGAAAGAATATTCAATCAAAAAAAAAACAAAACGCCAAAATGTCACTTTACGCAAAGAATGATATCTACGCACAATACAATAAACGATTTTATTTCACACAGAAATGTTTAAACCATTTAACTGCATCTTTATTTTTTGCAATGAATCAATGAGTGGTATGCACCCATGCCTTAAACCGGGTTAAATGGTAATACGCATTTCAAATTGCCTGAATGAGTATGAATGGAATGATAGCCTAAATTGTCAATAACATTTCGAAAAATAAAGCCTGCGCATCGTGATGAAATTAAACGTACCAGCAATTATAAATTAAATTACGCATATGAACAATTTGAACCAACAATGAGAGAGATAGAAACAAAGAGAGTGAGATAGAGTGAAAAAAAACCAAATTAATGGAGCAACACCCGACCGTTCGATTTCGTTGTGAAATGGTCAAACAAAAATTATCGCGCTGGGAAACGGTTCGTTTTTTATTTTGCAAAATGTGTTATGAATATTGACTGATTTGAGTTGATCCAACAGACACATTCGACAATTCCAGCATTCACTCACCACAAAGCACTTGCCGAATCATTTCAATCGGTTCAATAGATGTGATTTTTTTTTGTAGAGCTTGTCAACTAGTTTATGCAAAGTAACTACGAAAAACTAATCGGAGCAATCCGATTTTTCATGTGGGGAAAGGAAAACAATTGGAAAAAAAGTCAATATGATGTGGAAGCAATCATAATTGAACCATTTTGAATTGATTCAACAATACGATCGCCAAAATTATATAATTAAAAATCGCCATATTTTGTTTTAAATTTCGAATGTCTTTTGATGTTCATACCTTCGCCTCGTCCAATCTACCCAATGCTTTTAACAAATTTCCCAGATCACTGCGCACACAATATAAATCCTGCAATGAAGAAGAATAGAAACATTTCAATTAGATGTGGGTTTCAAGCGAGAATAGTGAATAATAAGTCGATGGGCAGTAGCTCGTACCGGATTGTACTGCAATGCAGTAACATATGCTTGAACAGCTTGTTCCATATCTCGTGCTGCGACCAAAGCAGCGGCCAAATTGATGTAGCCATCAATGAAATCGGGCTTGAGACGAACGGCATGCCGGTAATTTTCCAATGCTTCTTGTAACTGTCCACGTTCCTTGTACACATTGCCCAAGTTGCTGCAGCATAAAAAGAAGAAGAAAATGATTCAAATATTCGATTCGTTCAAATATTAAATTCACCATTGCACAAGCATAAGGATATTGGAATAATTCAGTGAAATGTAAACAACGCATAAAATTGAAAAATATTGCCATTGAAAAGGACGATTTTTATAAATTTTTTCCAAATCCAAATGGGTATTTTTGTTTTGTTTTTGTCGAATTTCAAAATCCAGTTGAACCAAATAAATTTTGAGTTAATTTTGATTGTGGTGCCGCCCATTGTATAATTTTGAGATTGAACGTAATATTTTTCGTTCTGTTGTTTGTTTATGAAACAAAGGGGAAACCTTTCGAATGTGATATGACCATAATATAATTCACATTTCACATTCGTAAAATTTCCCCTCGGTATGTCAATTTTGTGTGTGTGTGTGTGTCATTCTCTTTGTTTTGGTTTTTGATCTCCGTAATGAAAATGGTTCGATTTTTGCCAACAAAAAATAATAATATCGAAAAGAATTTTGAAGATGCGCAAATATTAGTTTTGATGCTGTCTAGATTGACTGCTTTGATTACCTGTATGCTTCGGCTAGAAGTGGATTTTGTTTGATGGCCAATGTCGAAAAGTGTGCTGATTTATCAAATCGTCGACACTGGAAGTGAATGGATGACAGGAGCAATAGGACGCCCGTGTTGCTGCTATCTTGTCGCCATAGTTGCATGCAGTGTCGTTCAGCATTTTCATAGTCCACTGCTTGGTATTCCCGATGGGCGAGCTCTAGTAAACCTGTTAGAGTTTTTTTTTTTCAAAATCATAACCAAAAATCATTATTCATTCATTTTTTACGATTTGTTTACATGGGATTTCGAATTCATATGCAAATCAAATGTCGATTATGCTTTGTGTGCGTCCGACAATTGTATCAAGTCACACTGAATCATACGCATACACATAATTCGTTTATCAAGAAAGAAAGAAAAAAAATATGGACGCAACGTGTTGTCAGTGTGAAAATTTTCCACAATACAACGGAATTTTCGTAATGAAAACCAAAACAGAAATGACAGTTAAATCGTGAGATATATCTTATAAATGTATAAGACATTTTTCTACACTGGTGTCCCTAATGATCGGCCTTGGCATTCATTGATTCATTGTGTGTGAATGTGTATTTGTTTTGTTTCATTTTTTTTCGTTCTCGCTTCCAATCGTTCGATGCTATCGTAGGCTACATGTAGTATCAGGTCTGAGAGAGTGCTATTTGTTAATGATAGAACAAAAACATATACGTCAAGCGAAACGCGTTCATTCCAATTCGTCAATATGCCCTCCCGAAAATAAACGCACGAAATAAGCATGTACATCGCACACAAAATGGATATGTCATTAGATTTTGTGTATGGAAAATTCTGCTTGAATTCATGTTTGGCTTAGTCAGCACGTAATTGTTAGAAACACGTGAAGATATGAGAGTCGGTCGAATTTTGTTGACAAAATATGATGAAACACATTGGTGGCAAAAAAAAATGACGTAACACATACACACCATGCGAAATGAACAAAATGCTGACTTAAAATTGGGTAATTAATTGCATGTATTTAGAGGAGGAGAGCGAACAAAAATGGTCGGAATTTTTTTTAAATCTGTTATCTAGAAGCAAGTGTCACCGCATTCTACGATTAGCATACTTGCTCGGTTTGTCTTGATATGTAACGAACGTCAGCAGCAGCAACAATAACAATCAAAAAGTTTGCATTTATAATGGATTTTTGTAACAATTCATATCGCATCGAATTGAATGGAATCGTGGCTTTTTTGGGGAACTTACCGACTGGCGTAATTTGTTGTATGCCATCAGTCATTGTCTTGATTATAATGCTGGTTGATTGTGGTAAAATTTGTTGATCTGCCTGCCGTATGACTGGCTGTTGTCCTTGCATGGTTCGCTATTTTCTAAAGTTCCACTGATTCTTTTTTTCTCTTCGTTTGATTTTGCCTTACTTTTTTTTATCGCACTCTTCTCTTGTCTCACTACTTTGTGCTTTAAATGCTTCTTTTTTACTTCTTAGTCGTCGATTGTACACCGTACACTGTACGAGCGCTGTGTGTGATATTAGAGATTACCACTTAAGGTTAAGATAACCAACAAAATACAAAAAAATAGAAGCAGCAATAGTTAACTAACTCCTGTTTTCACGTTTTTTTTTCTCTGACGATTTGCCTATTTATTTTGAATCACCATGTACTTATAACTTGCACTTTGTTTTCTGTCTTGGTTGTTTTTTTTTGTGTGTTGTGGTTGCCTCTTTGATTTTGGCTTAATTTGTCACGTAAATTAATTCACATCTAAAAGCAACGAAATTCTCAAAAACTTTCATTCACGCGAATGATTTTACACAGTAGATTGAATTGTAACTCGCTTTTAGCAATCGCTGTGATGAACGTGTTAGCATTTATTCTGTGCTTGTGTGCAATTTTTTTGCCTTCAATGCCAAACGAAGACGGTAAAACTCTTTTTTTTAATATGATTTTTCTCTTTTGTTATTTTAATACTGTGCGTCGTCTTATACATACTTCCTCGCTCCGTCTCGCTATTCACTAACATAGAAGCTAATATAGGATTGCATGTGTGTGTGTGTATGTGTGTGTCTGTGCGAGTGAATGAGTGTGTTTTTGTGCGTGCATGTGTTTGTATTTTTTCTCTCGTCTACCTTTACATTGTTCGACAGCCGATGTGGATATGGTTGTCCATCTTATTCATATGCTATTCTCAATTATACCGAATTTTTTTCCGAAATTAGAGAAATTCTCTCATTCAACATCAGCTGATGAAATTTCAAAAAAAAGTTCATTGAGAAAATTGGAGAGAAAAAATAAATTATAGAATGATTACATGAAGTCATGAAGATGTTTCAAATAGACCGAAATTATTGACTTTCAATCAACGTTTCTTTTATTTTGTCATTTTGTCTCTCTTTTGTTCATTACTTTTTCTTCGTTGGCTTCTGCGTTCCGTTGGATGTGTATTTGTGGCATGTGTGTGTGCGTTTCTGGATTTGTCAATGTATGCAAGATTTGTGGTAATTTTCCTACAAGCCACTCTGAGCCGGATACTCTGAATCGATGAAATTTCAAGATGGCTACCAATTCATCACATACACATATTTGACATTGCTGATTCGTTTCATTTTTCAATACCGCTGTCATTAGCGCCAAGTTCAAACCCATTTTTTCGCCATTGATTCCAGCTACTTGATGCAATCCAGAAATTACATCAATGCATCTTTATTTCAATGCAATCGATTTCAAGGATGTGAAAAATGAGAAAAATATTTTTTCTCCCATTCAACTGCGATGAATACTGAATAGTTTTTTCCCCCTAGTATCGAACTGGTAGCGCCACATCATTTGTTCGCGAACTAGTTGGTTTTAGTTTAGAGCGACTCGTTTGCTCTTGGTCGTGTGCTTATATAAGGCTGAACGCATACACCGGCACACACGTGTACATACGATAAATTGCGCATAGAGACGTGAGACAGAGGCTATGAGCGAAACTGAATTTGATATTGCCGTCATTCCAAGTTGTGTGATCGTTAAATGATCTGTACTTTATTGGCATTTTTCTCGTATATAGCAAAAATAATGGCCGGCAACCAAGAACGTACTTTTATCATGGTTAAACCAGACGGTGTCCAACGTGGTATCGTCGGTGAAATCATCAAACGTTTCGAAGCTAAAGGCTTCAAATTGGTTGGATTGAAATTCGTTTGGGTAAGTGATCAGAAAAACATAATTTTTTTCCGGTTTTGTAACATTTTCATAGAACATTGTAACATTTTGTACGACGGATATTCAATGAGAGAGAAAAAACACACACCACATCGTACATTCGAAATGCATTTCAATCACAAAAAAAAATTAATTTATCAAACAAAAATTGCATTTTGATAAAAAATAATAATATTGAAAATGCGATTTGCTTCATATTTTATATGCAAATTACAGTGTGAGATAATTAACAGAGACCTAATTTCTAACCCAACTTTTTTTTTCTCTTGCATTCGTTTCGTTCACTCAGCCAACACAAGAATTGTTGGAGAAGCACTATGCTGATCTCGCCGGTCGTCCATTCTTCCCAGGATTGGTTAAATACATGAGCTCCGGCCCAGTCGTGCCAATGGTTTGGGAAGGTTTGAATGCCGTTAAGACTGGTCGTCAAATGTTGGGCGCCACCAACCCAGCTGACTCATTGCCAGGCACCATCCGTGGTGATTTGTGCATTCAAGTCGGCCGTAACATCATTCACGGTTCAGATGCCGTCGAATCGGCAAACAAGGAAATTGCCCTGTGGTTCGGCGAAAAAGAAGTCGTCTCATGGACCCCAGCCAACAAAGACTGGATCTACGAATAAATGTTACAACGTCATCCCAACAACCACAAAAAAATCCAACATACAAACATTCACCGAATTGATTCCTGTGAGCTTCGCGAGAAAAAAAAGAAGATGAAAAAAAATACAACGTTTTGATACAATCTGAAAATCTGTTTAACAAAAATTTATACATCTGCCGAAGCAGACAAAAACAATATTTAGATTTATTTGAATTGTAATTTCTTCTGGAAAGATGTTTTGTTTTCTCTTTTTTTGCAAAAAAAATCTTTGCTCCGATAAATATAATATAATAATATTTTAAAAACAAAAAAAATACATTGTGTTCATTTTCTTATGCGCTATATAACGGTATTATCAGATCGTATTCACGTTTGACCCGAAAAACCAATCTGGTTCAAAGTCATCTGAATGCTAAACTATTACAGTTACATGATGACGCCAAAGGAAGTAAGAAACATCGCCGCTCGAAATGTTTGTCGCACAATGACAAACAATTTAACGTGAGTTATTGCAGCTAATAATCCATGAAGTCATATTGCATGTGGTCTAGGTCAATATTTGATTTGCCGGCGATTAAATTTACATTAAACAGCGACGCGCGTCTCACACGCACATGATAATCAGTAATCATAATCGATACACCAATTTCGATTCTTTCTTTTGAATTCAGTCGACTTTTCATGTGAGTCGATGGATTTGAGGTTATGCTCATGTTTGCAAACATTTCAATCATAAAAAAATCGTCGTCTCGTTCAAATGACAGTTGTAGAAATATCAAACAAAACAGAAATTCTTTGTAATTGTCGCTTTCGATGGCTAATTTGGGAGCTAATTTGGAGTACATTTGGGAGCGATCGGTGAAAGTGTTTCCCATTTTGGAAAACAGTGTAAGAAGCAATATTTTGTAAATTTCCAATAAAAACAAAAATTTTAAAATGTTTTTTTCCATTCTGTTCGCATATGATGATGCCGGTGTTCAGTTGCAAGAATCGAGTGATGTTTCGGAAACCGATTTGAGATTCATTATCGATGAATGGGTGCGATTGGATATTGCGGAAAATATCTACGAAACAATTTGGTTAAACATCGATTTTCTGCTGCGTCATCAGATCGTGCCAAAGTTTTGGAAATACTTCAGTTCGGACAATGACACCGAAAATGGTTTCTATCAGTTTCAGCTGAGCATTTATGAATTGCATCAGGAATATCAAAAGTTTCAACGCATTTTGGACCGAGTTCGTCCGATGAAAACATTGTGCCGATTCAGCAATCCAGTTTATCGTGACCGACACGAGCTTGAAGTATTCAAAAACATGCTGAAAATCGACTTACTCTCACAATTGCCGGCCAATTTCACCAAAATTGTTCACTCATTCTACCATGTTTCATTCACGGTCTTTGCAAACAGTCATCAGGACAGTGGTAAGCTGGATTTTACCAATTGACTGACTAGTCGTTTGGTTTATGATTTGATTTAGTGCAATTATTTTCTGTCATTGAATTTACTGGTTTTTCTTGAGCAGATGTCGAAATGATGGATGAAGTCAAATGCAATGGCTGTAACAAAGAAACGGATAACTGTCGATGTCAAGAGCTAGTCGTTGGTTTCAACAAAACCAATCAGTACCTGTACGATATGGATCTACTGGATCGATTGGCTGGCTTTACACTTACGAATCTCATACAAGAGCGTATCGATACTCACGTACAAGATACTTGCAAAGGAATCTTGGACACGTCACATGTGGATGGCCTGTTGCAGGTAAACGAAACGTGCTATTTGACTCTATGGCAGCTAAAATGAAATTTATTTGATTCCAGTGGCTCGACACCGTGGTAATTAGCTGGTTGACTCGCATCTATAACCAGGGATCACTGAAAATCGAAGTACACAATGCTCGTGTCAGAGATGTGTTGAAAGAATTTCGCGTTAAGCTGGAGTATTATTTATACGAAACATATGCACACATTATCATAGACCAATTTTTCACCGTCATTATAGGTAAGTCACACATTTTGTTTGACAATAAATTGATCACACGTATAAAAACGTATGCATCCCAAACCATGTACAGATTTCCCTGACTCAAAACCGGCCATTGACGATTTAAAAATTTGCCTGGAGAAGATTGACTTGCGTGTTTATCTGGTAAAGTCATTGAAAGATGTGTTGGAGAAGCGTCTCTTGCATCCCGGTGTTAATACGAGAGACATTTTGACTGGCTATGTGGCTGCGATTAAGACTATTCGGCATTTAGATAGCACTGGCGTGTTGCTGGAAACGATAACCGAACCGGTGAAACAGTACATGCGATCACGACAGGACACCGTTCGATGTGTTGCATCAGCCCTCACCGACGATGGCCCAACTGACTTGGCCGAGGAGTTGGCACGAAGTGAAGCATATGTCGAAAATCTTTCCAACCAAAATGAAGACTGGGAAAATTGGATGCCGGATCCAATCGATGCAAGTACCAGTATGTCAAAAGCAACCAATCACTTTACAATCAAAAGTATTTTTCGTTTCGAAACAACAATTTAATTTTTTTCACTTTTTTTCAGAAAATCAAAAACCAACCAGCCGATCAGCTGACATCATTTCCATGGTTGTCGATATTTATGGCAGCAAAGAGGTATTTGTCAATGAATACAGAAGTTTGCTGGCCGATCGACTGCTGTCGCAGCTTGACTTCAATCCAGGCCGTGAGATACGCAATTTGGAACTTCTCAAGTTACGTTTCGATGAAACAATGCTGCACACGTGCCAGGTCATGCTGAAAGATATTACCGATTCAAAGCGAATCAATTCTCACATTCAAACTACGATTCAGACGCCGGAAAATGGTATGTGTTGTTTTGATTCTTCTCCACACTAGTGAAAGAAAATGAAATGACATCAAATGTATCTTTTTTCCAGTTGAAATGTTCCCACTGTCTTCGCTGATTTTGTCGTCCCAATTTTGGCCATCGTTCAAGAATGACACAATCGAATTACCGGAAGAGTTGAAGAAAGTCTTTGACTGCTATACTAAATCATATGAGGCGTACAAAGGGAATCGAACACTATTTTGGCGACCATTCATTGGTCGAGTTGAGCTTGAAATCGAAGTCGGCAATAAGAAGTTGGACTTATCTGTCTCACCCATTCATGCGGTTATCATTTATGAGTTCCAGAAACAGAGTAAGTTGGAAGAAATTTTTCGGGTTTTTCTTCGTCGCAGAAAAATGAGAAATTAGAATGAAGTAAGAAACATTTAAATAACACAAACATTCATCAATTTGCCTACGCAGGTTCGTGGCGCTTAGAAGACCTAAGTCAAAAGATTCAAGTACCTGCATCGGTGGTGCGTAAAAAGATTGCATATTGGCAAGCACAAGGGCTAATCGAAGAGACTTCCAGCGACAACTTCACTCTGATTGAAAACATTGAACAACACACGCGACAAGATTCAGGTAATTTACATTTGAAATACAATATCAACTGAATTCATTGCAAATACCGAGAAAATGACTGAAACGAAATTGCTTTGCATCCACAGAACAAGTGGACGATGACGAGAATGAGAGTGCAATGGCATCTGCAAATGATCAGCGTGAAGAGGAATTGCAAGTATTTTGGTCTTACATTGTGGGCATGTTGACGAATTTAAATTCCATGCCGCTGGAGCGGATTCATCAAATGTTGCGAATGTTTGCATCGCATGGGCCGGGCGTTGAATTCTCACAAGAAGAATTGAAAAATTTCTTACAGCGCAAAGTTCGAGAGCATGCACTGATCTTTGCTGCTGGTGTTTATCAGTTGCCAAAATAAAATACCATCGATTCCATTTCCAGTAGCATGGCACACAATGCCGATGTTAAATAAATGTTAAACATTTTGATATTAATTTTAAGTACTTTGTGCGAAATAAGTCGAATAAACGTCTACATTGTTTCTTTGTACAGAAAAAAATGATTACAATCGTGTTTGGTCAACATTTTGCTTGAGAAAATAATTATTATTCACATCAAAAGCGTTGCCTACATTCAAATTGATTTACATTTAAATAATATTTTTTTTAACAATTTCACTAGAAATGAGTAACTTGAATGAGAATGGAATGAACAATAATTGATAAACGGTGGCGATGATGGTGGTGGTGGAGGTGGTGTTATTCTTCAATTTCCGTGCCATCGGTTGGTTCCTGCGCAGCCGATTCATTCATATCATCATCCATGTCCTCATCAGCGGTAGCTGTTGCGTTCGCATCATTTGTTGTTTTGCTTTCATTTTTGCTGGACTTTTTCTCTTTGTTCGCCTTTCGAAATGCTTCCAACGCCTCACGCAACGGTTCAATGAAATTCTCAAATTCGATTTCCTCCAGCGCCGAGAACACATTGTCCGATGATAATGATTTGTGCTTCTGTTTCTTTGCCGCGGCTGCCGTCGATGAGGTCAAGTATATAACTGCGGGGAGAAAACAGAGTAAATTGTCAGTATGTTTGGGTAGATGTGTGGTTATGAAAATCTTTGATGAACTGTATTGACAGCAACACTTGTTTAATGATTCACTACTCGTTGACATAATTGCCCAGTAAACATTTGAGAATAACATCGGATGAGACCGACTATAATTCACTTACTGAAAATAGATGCAGCTCTAGCAATTGCAGACCGTGCCTCCTTTCCAATGTTGATACCATCAGGCAGTGCTTCTTTGATCAGCCGTGTAACTACTGTGGCTGGCAAATTTAAATCTTGAATTTTGTCAACCATTTTGCTTATGATCTAAGTCTTCTCAAATCTTTTTCAGAAAAAATTTGGGGGCTGGAATTAAATCTAATCAATTTATACCGTGTTTTTGGTTAAATGGTTTGTTATTGGCGGGAAGAGAGCATTTGGCTGTCAAACATTTGCTAATGCGTACAACAAACGTAGTACTAGTTTTCATGATGTTTGTGTCGCAGACGCGCGCAAATCATAAATTTAAATATTCAAAATAAGTCGGAATTTGCGAGCGTCATTTTCACTTGGAAATATTTGTAAAATCTCTTGCATGCAAAACCAGTAATAAATTCCGAAATATTTCAATGGAAAGTGTCGAAAATCGGTGAATTACAAAGTCAAAAATATTTTCAACTCAAAAAGCGTATCAGATTTTCGAAACTAGATCGGTTTGTTCTGTATATCCAATGCACAAATGTCATTCGTTGTTTGTTAGAATAGTGAACAATGAAAAATCTATCAATTGCAGTTCACAATCATAGAATAAAACAAATCAAACCAAGCGTCTTCTACAAGCTAACGGAAAAAGTGTTGAAATTTTCCAAAATAATGGCACCGCCAGCGAAAAAACTCAAAACCGAGAACGGAACCAGCGCACCAGTGGCTGCTGAGCCCGCAAAAACAATGGAAAAAACCGATTTCGTGAGTTTATTTAAGCAAGATCGTAAAAATACGGCCAAAAGTATACTCGATTTCAAGTTTGCCAAATCACGGGTACGCATTCTGAACGATCATTCGGAAGTGAAGGAAAAATCCAACGGCATTTTCTACTGGATGTTTCGAGACCAGCGCGTTCAGGACAACTGGGCATTTTTGTTTGCACAAAAATTAGCACTTAAAAATGAAGTGCCGCTACATGTTTGTTATTGTTTGCTACCGAAGTTTCTCGACGCAAACACACGCCATTACAAATTCTTGGTGAAAGGTCTGCAGGAAATCGAAGAGGAATGCAATTCGTTGAACATCTCATTTCATTTGTTCTACGGTGATGGTGGTACCGAAGTGCCCAAATTTGTTCGCGAACATTCGATGGGAGCAGTGGTTATTGATTTCTGTCCGCTTCGCATACCGATGCAATGGGTGGAAAATTTAAAGAAAGGCCTACCCGACGATATACCACTGATTCAAGTTGATGCTCACAACATTGTTCCCGTTTGGGTGACATCGGATAAACAAGAATACGCCGCTCGTACCATTCGCAACAAAATCGTTAGCAAGCTGAGTGACTATCTAACCGAATTTCCGCCATTGGTCAAACATCCGTACAAAAGTGAATTGAAGGGAATTGAAAAACCGGATTGGGTGGATTGCTGGAATCACGTCAAAATTCCAGAACTTAAAGAAATCACATGGGCTACACCGGGCTACAAAGGTGGTGTCAAACAGTTGGAAATTTTCTGCTTGAAACGGTTGCGAAATTATGCAACCAAACGCAACGATCCAACACTCAATTGCCTGTCCGATCTGTCGCCATGGTTTCATTTTGGTCAAATTGCACCGCAACGCGCCATTTTACAGGTATCCAAGTACAAAAACTACAAAGAAGGTGTTGACGCTTTTCGCGAAGAGGCAATCGTACGTCGCGAGCTATCGGACAATTTCTGCTTTTTCAACAAACATTATGATTCCATAAAGGGATGCGCCGCGTGGGCACAGCAAACACTCAAAGATCATCGAAAAGATAAACGAGAATGGATTTACACCGTCGAAGAGTTGGAACAGGCCAAAACACATGATGATCTATGGAATTCAGCACAAATTCAACTGAACAAAGAGGGTAAAATGCACGGCTTCCTTCGGATGTATTGGGCGAAAAAGATTTTGGAATGGTCGGAAACACCAGAAGCCGCGCTTGCCGCAGCCATTTACTTGAATGATTATTACAGCATCGATGGAAGAGACTCCAACGGATACGTTGGTATGTCGTCGTCGTTTTTATTTCAGATTTTGTTCCAATAAATTAAATCAAATCAAGTGATTTCTTAACGCTTTATTTATTTTTTCACAGGATGCATGTGGTCCATTGGCGGCATCCACGATCAAGGCTGGGCTGAGCGTGAAATATTCGGGAAAATTCGCTACATGAACTACGCTGGCTGTAAAAGAAAGTTCGATATAAATGCTTTTATCGCTCGTTATGGGGGAAAAGTCCACAAAAAAGCCACAAATAAAGCAAAGTAATACCAAGCACATGCATTGTATACGGGTTGCATACGTTTTTTTTTCATCTGTTACCAGCAAAATATCTTAAAATCTCAAGGAAACGAAATCTCAAGTAAACGAAATCTCAAGTCAAACAAGTACAAATAAAGTTAGTCTATTAAATCGATATTTGCGTCATATTTATTTTCAATTTAAAACAGTTACTCAATTTTTTTTTTACCATTTAGAGATGTGTGTTACCTTTGATATTCTATTTTTTCTACAAATAAAGACCATTTTACTGACCCAAAATATTTTTTTTCATATTGTATCATGCGGCACAAATCATCTTTGTTTTTTTTTCTCCATTTAGACAGAGTTTAAGAAAAAAATACTACGACAGAGAATTCCATATTTAAATCTGAATTATTGAAGTGAGTCGACTTAACACCAAAAATTTAAATGTAAAAATATGTGTTTAATACCATTTTGAGCGTGAAAATATCAAGTCTGATTCTGTTGTCAAGGCTATTTCAAGTGTAATAAAACAAATGCGATCTGGTAAAAGGAAAAACGGTTTCTGGCACAAGTCTTCTGCATAAGTGTTACGTAGAAAAGATTTTAAAATTGAATAACCGTAAGAATCAAAGTACACACCAAAGCATTTGTTGGCCGATTTACGTTTGCTTGATGGTCGAATGGAATGGAAAGTGGAAAAAGAGAGACAGAGAGAGAGAGAGAGAGAGAGAGAGAGAGAGAGAGAGAGAGAGAGAGAGAGAGAGAAAGAGAGAAAGAAAGAAAAAGAAGCAATCGCCGAAAAGAAATTAATCCGATTAAGAATGTAAGCTATTTGCGATGATATTGTTGGTATGCGAATACATCGTAACGATTTTGATCTTGACTCATATAAGATACGACGAAGTGAATCATTCGGTCTTCATCGTCGTCGTTGTTGTGGCCGTCGAGAGTATAGAGTAAAAATCAAAACAGCAACTACTACTGCACACAATGTTCGTTTTATGTTTATCGTAACAACATTCTCTGTTTCTCACATACATGCAGCACCATCATTGATTACTCATGGTGTGTTGTTGTTCTTGGTTCTCTCGGTTTGGGTGTGTTTGTGTGAGTGTGTATGCGTACGCATAGTCATTCAACACACGGTATGATTTCATTTGTATATGATTGTTGCCGCAGCAGAGCAAGTTCAAGAGTTGCTTACACTCAGAGTTTGTATGTTTTACGATGGGCTTCTGTTGAATCGATCGTACACCTTCAGTCATTATCATATCCAATCACTGCCTGAGTGCATAGTGTGTTTGTGATTATTCTCTTGTTTTGTGTGCTGTGTGTCTCTTATTTTTTTTGCTGCTGCTGCTGCTGCTGCTTGCTGCTCCACATACCTTGTGTAGCCGATTCAGACCAACGACGACGACGACGAACGAAAGACGAGAAAAATAAAACAACACACTCAACATCCAACAACGAAATAACAAGAAAACCTGAAACACAAAACGGATGAAAGAAAAGAAAAACCTCTAATTAACGAAGATAAGGTGTAAATATTTAGATAAACGAATGCATTGTTGGTTCACGATACCGCATTCTTAGAAACAAATAAAAACAAGACAGCGAGAGAGAGAGAGAGAGAGAGAGAGAGAGAAACACTATCAACAGCATGGAGAACCGAAATGTAAGTGGAATTCTTGAAATATTTCCTATTTTTATCAACGAAAAAAAAAACAATTCAGGATAAAATTGAAATGAATCAGTGAAATTCATTCAAAATCAGGGTCTTATGTGTCCATTAGATTCGACATTACTTTAGTTGCATTTTGGACAACCCATAGCTAGTTTCTCAATTTGATTTAAAAAAAAAACAATTTTTTCCTGAGAATTTATCTGAATTTTGTTTTTGTGATATTAATATTTCAGCAATATCAAAATATCGCCGCGATGAGTATGCATAAAAATGCGTTGTGTTCCATGCAACCAAAATATACGGATCAACAACGTCGCTTGTCATCGACACCATTGCAATTGAACATCGATGCGCAACAGAGTCAATACAACGAGGATTTGCTGCCACCACCAAGCCCAGTCAGTTCATCGTACAGCGAATTGAGACGGGCCACCGAAAATCCATATCCAACAATGCCAATTTATCCATCTACATCACAACATCCACAACACACATACGCTAATATATACCAATCGGACTATACATACGCCTCGTATCAACCATCCAGTATGAGGCCCATTTATCGGTGAATAATATTATAGCAACGAAAAAAAATATATCAAAGAGTGCATATGTGTAATTTCCACTGTTTTTTGTTTGTTTGTAGAACGCCAGAGTCAGTGGATCAAACGCAAGTTTCGTCTCCATATGAGTCCATTTATGAGCCGATCAATTCACGTCCTCCCAGCCAAATGTCCAATCGATCTAATTATCCGTCATATGGATCGTCATCGGCCTATGTGAACGGTGGTAGAAGTAGCAACAGTAGCATAAGTGGTAGTAATCTTCATTTGGCGCCAACGAAAACCAATCCTGCCAATAAAACACTAATTGCGTCCGGTGCGGGGGTTGGTGCAGGCAGTGCCGGTGGTAAAAATTTCCGTGAAGCAGAAGTCGATGTGCTCACCGAATTGCTGGTTCAGTCAATGAATATGGGTGCCGATACGGATACGTTTGGCATTTGTGTGCAGTGTGGTAAAAAAGTGGTCGGCGAAGGCTCTGGCTGTACAGCCATGGAGCAAATTTATCACATTGAATGTTTCACATGCTGCCAATGCCAAATCAATCTGCAGGGAAAACCATTCTATGCACTCGATGGAAAGCCTTGCTGTGAAGACGACTATTTGAATACGCTGGAAAAGTGCTCGGTGTGTGTTAAACCAATTTTAGAGCGTATCCTTCGAGCCAATGGAAAACCATACCATCCGAAATGCTTCTGTTGTGTTGTATGTGGCAAAAGTCTGGATGGCGTACCATTCACCGTTGATGCCACCAATCAAAATCATTGCATCGAAGATTTCCATAAGTAAGTTTCCACATTTGATGACATTGTTCATATGACAAGTTCCAAACTAATGAACACCTAATTCTTTTCTTCTGCATTTTCGTAGGAAATTCGCACCACGTTGCTGTGTATGCAAGTTACCAATAATGCCAGAGCCAGGTGAAGACGAAACAGTACGAGTCGTCGCCTTGGATAGAAGTTTCCATGTTGAATGCTATAAGTGCGAAGTAAGTGTTTCTGGTAAATTCAACTTTGAATGAATACTAATTACTTCTTTTTCGGAAATGTTTTCAGGATTGCGATATGCTGTTGTCAAGTGAAGCTGAGGGTCGCGGTTGCTATCCACTTGACGATCATATATTGTGCAAGGCATGTAATGCAAAACGCGTCCAAATGCTGACTAGTCGCATGACCACCGAATTGTAAACCGAAATTCATACGACGCACGCACAAAAAAAGACAAAATGAATTTAAAAATAAATATGCCATGCAACAAGTTTAAAAGCGAGTAGCAAAAATATCTTTTAGAGGAAAAACAAATTTTTTTTCGGTCAAAACATAATAAAAACAACAACAAATTATGCTTGCTATACATATATAAATAAATAATCGTGGAGTGCGATATAAATGTGATGATGAAGCATTCGAGAGAAAAAAAAACATTAGTTTAAGCATTTATTAGGCTAACAACAGACACTGTTGGTGGTGACCTGTTTATCAAAAACAAAACAACGGGAAAAACAGCACAAAAAAACAAACGTCAATAACCTCCATATTCCAATAATAAAACTTTATATAATGAATGTTGAACATAATTTTTTTTTAAATTTTATCTCTTTACAATAAAAGTAAAATGATAAATTGTATACACAATCTTTGGTTGTCTTTGTTTTCAGTTCTATTTTGTATCAGCGAATAGAAAGAATTTTTTATTTTTTTTATCAGTTCTTGAGAAAATGTCTGATTTTCGAATAGGATAAAATCTGCATTGAGTTTTAAAAAAGGAAATCGGAGTTGAGATAATTTCTTAAAACTTCCATTGGTCATACAAATTCTTCCCGCACGAGATTAATTCTTTAGATCTTTTTTAATCGACCAAATTCCGAATAGAAACAATTCAATATTGTCGTAGATTTTTGTCTTTTTATCATCCAAAACCAAATTAGTTGAATTTGTCGAATTGTGTGGATATGAATTATCATGAGATTCAAAATTTTCCAATTTCATATAGATCTGCGAAAAAATAAAAGTCAACTGATTTTTGTCTGAATTCACTTCTTTTATTTTCATTATTCAAAGATTCTGTTGGAATATATTATTATTTTCTGTTGCGGCGGCAGAAAATAAATATGGAAATTCGACGACATTACCAGAAACACGGACCTGCAGTCAGAAATCTTCTTCGTCTTAATTTCAACTAGGGTTTACAAACGTTTCGACAAATTCCGCAAACGGTGATAAAAAAACGTAATTTTTCTGTATTGTTTTATTTTGACACTTCAAAATACCGCAGAAATTACGAGAAAAAAGAAAATAACGTTTTTGGGCGTTATTAAACGGCGCTGTAAAGTAACGTTTTTTCGAAACACCGAAAAATTTAACGCGTTTTTAAACCCTAATTTCAGCATTTTGGAAATAAAAAGTTCTTCAAATCATAGCTTGAGACGTTTTATAGACAGCTACACTGTCTACACAGGTGAACCACAGGTTGTTCCAACCATTTTTGTTTCAACCGTTGTTATGTACGTCCATACATTTTCAATCAATTTGTATGATGGTAATTAAATTGGCCAAAACGCTTTTAAGCAAACTATGAAAAAATTTGGATGGTCCAGATTAATAGGTGTATTTTTCTCACATCACAAAAAAAGTTTGTACAGTAGGAAAAAATAATAATTGACTTTTGGATACATTCAACCAACAGAAACAAAAACAAATATTAATTCATTATTAAAAGTAATTTTTGACCATATGACTTGAAGGATTTGTTTTTCCTAAAAAAAGTTGTTTTTACTCTGAATTTTGCGATATTCATTGGCTTCAGCAGCACGCTCGTCGAGTGTGCGGTATGTGCGTTTTTCGCCGTCTTTGGGGTGATCATGCTTGTTCAGTTCGATGTAAATTTCATCATTATGCTCGAAGTCACCTTCTCTCCGGGGCATCACGTGACAGTGAACGTGCTAGAAAAACAAGCGAAATTCAATTTTGACAATTCAAATGACCAAAAAATCCACTTAAATATGAAAGATAGAGCTTCCAAAGCAAATTACCCGGACAGTTTGTCCAGCATTTTCACCATCTTGCACAGTCACAGTGGCTGACGTTGTGTTGTAGTATTTCTCAAGCATACGCTGGCATTTGCACACGGTCATAAAGAAGTCGACAATTTCCTCAGGCGTCATGTCCTTCAAGCGGCTAACACATCGTCGCGTTGCAATGAGAACATCTGAATGAAATAATAGACAAATTTGGTGTAAAAACATTTCAATAAACTTGTACACTAAAAAATTCGACAATAATAAAACGTACGGCCAGGAACAACACAGGTAATGTTTGTGAATGCAATACTCAATGGCGTTTCAAGAAATGTGGTTGACTTAGGAACGGGATACTTTTCGAATAGGAAATATGGCGTTTTCTCATCTTCGATTGGTTTTGGTTGAAAATCCGAATTGGTTGCGTTCAACGATCTCTCAGCTGAAACCAAACGGAGAGGCGCTAAAGCGTAGACATCATTACGCCTATGATCGAAACATGGCAAACGTTTGCGAACATCCAGCAATGAGTCCAATGCAATTTTGACTGTTCGGCATTGTGGAACAGATGCATCGTCTTGGTCACAGTCAGCCAATATTCGGCCCCAAGGATCAACCACCTATGAACAAAATAGCATTTAATTGTAATACTTAATGAATAGACTAAGATTTTGAATGGTACCATTGCTCGTCCAAAACTTCTACGCTTCTCATTATGGTAACCAACTTGAGCCGGTGCAATCACAAAGCATTGATTTTCAATGGCACGGGCACGTAACAATGACTCCCAGTGAGCCAAACCGGTTGAGTAGGCAAATGCCGATGGATATGTTAAATATGTGGCACCGGCTTTGCGCAGAATTGTTGACGCTTCAGGGAACCGTAGATCGTAGCACTAAAGCGAAAAGGGAAATCAAATAAAAATCAAATCATATCATAGCGGATGACAGTCCACACGAGTGATAACAGCTTGTTAAAATAGCTTACAATTAATAATCCAAGACCACCTTCAAGTGGTGTGTCTGTCAAGGGAGATACGATGTAATTGCCGCCATTTACAACACACGATTCCTGAAACCGAAACTCCGGCGTTTCCACATCGAACAAATGTAATTTCCGATACACAGCCACCAATTCGCCCGTATTACTGATAACGATGTGGGAATTATGTAATTTGTCGGTTTTCCCGTTATCCTACAATTAACATTTGAAAAGAACAAAAGTATAAGTCGAAGAATGGGTGTAGTCAACGAAAAGTGGTCCTTTTACCTGATCATGAATGATTTCGTGTACTCCACCAAGCGACAACCACACATTTTTCTCTTTAGCCAATTGTTGGTAGAATTGTACCGTGTCTCCAGTCAGTGTTTCGGCCAGAGCGAGTGTTTCATGACGATCATTGCCAACATAATCACAGCATTCGGGTAAGAATACAAACTGGAATTCAATTGAATTAAATTAAATTTTGGAACGTTCAAAGATATACATAAGAACATACGCTAGCATTTTCCTGAGAGGCCGACTCAACAATCTGTTGAACCTGTTGGCGATTGGCTGCTTTGTCATTAGTTGACCGCATCTGTCCAATGGCGATGATTTTTTCCATTTTTAAATCCTTTACTTGACTACTAAACTTTCGTCCGAAGAGAAACGCTTGTTTCGAAATGTTCAATGAATGATGATGTGCTAAAAATAATCGACTTGAGAACCGAAAAAAACTAATAACCATTTCCACTGATGTGAAACCAATGCACTTCGTTGCACGTGCAGATGTATTGATTGCACTATAATGACGACGGTTTATTTAGAAATCAAAACATCAACACACACCGGGACTTGATAAACTGATAAGAGTAAATTAATGTCTATAATGTTTGCAATACTTAGAACACAATCAAATTGTTCACAAAAAGAGAATTGATTTGAAACATTAAACAGTCCACACAATCAAAGGATATTTCAAACTGTATCGAACTCGTTCCATTCAATTCTAGATCCGATCACAACGTAATTGAATCATATGGAAATTGTTTTAAGCAAATTGTGAAAAAAACGCTATGTCAAACAAAGGTGACACTGAAAAATAATCAATAGATGGGGCTCGCTTCGACGATGAAACGTCAAAAATTACATGCAACAAGTAAAAAGCGATTTAAAACCATACAGACATGTATTATTGTTTTACGACCGTTAACAAATTGTTTACATTACAAACATTTTAAATTTTGGTTGTTAAATATTCAAACCGGAGACATTGTCATGAATGTAAATAATCAAGGAATCAAAGCAACAACTTGCGAGCATATGCCTACACAAATTGGTGCAAAAAATTCAAATCAATTTGTTTGATGATTTGTTCACAAAACACCATACGGCTCACAGAAGTTGGCGAATGAATAAATTATTTTTGTAACATTTTGAATGGAGATTTTTGTTTTTTTGTTGTTGTTATTTGTAAACAAATCTGCCTATCTTTTTGCATTGCCACTGTGCATTGTATAGATCCATATAAGGAAAGAAACAAAGTGATAAAGCGAAGTTTCTGAATAAGAGTTTAATGTATGAGGATTCAAAGCACTCCAGTTCTTTCGAACGGATTCGCCGAATTGTTTGCGCCCTATGCTGTAAGAATAGCCTATTACGGCTTTTCAGCAGCCACTGTCACGACGTAGAACTAAGTTCTGTAATGGTATTATCATTTGTATTTTTCTCTTAAAACTAATCTTAAGTGATATTCGTTGCTGTCATCATCCAACATCATCTTTGTTCACTCGCACTCGTCGTTGTAGTCGCTGTAGTTGTCACTGTGATCGCTCTCCGAAGATGATAATGATGCACCACTATCACTATTGCTCTGGTAGTCTTCGGTGAAACTATCAAATTTACGAAGATAACAGGCAGCCAATGTTGTCTTGTGTTATATGGAGTGGAAAATAAGAAAAATAAAATGAATATATATTTGAATAATTGTATAGTGTCCTTTTTCAATTAATTACCGGTTGTGGTTCTAGTCCACTGACATTTGGATTGTTACGACGACTTTTGGTGCGATGATAATTTTTGGTGGCACTTATTCTGGCTTCATCCATTTCCAATCTTCGTCTTTTAGTTCGATCGTTTTGTCTTGGTGCCGGTTCAGTGAAATTTGCAGGCCGTGAAACATCATATGTGTCGCAATAAACTGTATGTGTAAATAAAAATGAGGGAAGACAATTCATCAAAAGTGCAATTATACCGTAACAGTAAGTAGTACTACTTACACAGTTTTCGAATGTTGATTGAAGCATTGATGTCGCGATTTAATGATCTTGATGCAACCGCATCTAACGCATAAGCGCCGTTGAATTGGTGTCGCTTCCAAATGGAAAAACACACATCAATGTCGTCGTTCTCAATTTGACGCATTCTCCATTTGGTTTTACGACGTCGAAATCGTTTACCCGTCGTCTTGGAAATTGTGTGCTTGCTCTTCCACGTAATTTTCTCTAAATGAGCGTATTTCTGATTTTTCGAAAGTGTTTGACCTTTATTAGCAGCCTCTCGTTCGATTTGTAATTCGCGTTTATTCTTCAACACGTATATCGTTTTTTCCGGCAATGGTGACCGCATCATTGGCAACATTCCCTTCAAGTCCATTGGTTTACACATCAAACAGACTTTGGTGCGACTCTTTTCCGTTTGTTTGCGATGATCCCGCGGTCGACGATCCTCCTTCTCTGCCAGGCTACGGCTCTCGCCCATACGGGCATCCAGCAGTACTTGGCCACAACGGCAACAGCATTTAGACGTACGATGTTCACTACCGTAATACACGGTGCACTGCGGATGTTCGTCAAGCAGTTTGAATAGACCGTGTACTTTAGTGGTGCTGTATCCAAAACCCAATGAGTTGGCCTCTGGAAGTTTGTCGCCAACAATTACAACCACATATTTGCTCCGGCCAACAATCATGCGAGCGATATAGACCAATGTGCTTCTCGTTTGCGCCCATGCATCGTAGTCGATTTTAGCAAACTCTTTGCTGCCATACGCTGCCATGGCTCGCGTGAAATACTTCAGTGTATGTCGGGCATATGTTTCGAAATCGGGTGA